GCTAGCTTGTTTGCTGTCTGTCTGTCTGTGTTTGTAGCCAGAATTAAGCTCAGCATCTCACAATTACCAGGTGGTCGCTATACTGCTAAGTTATATCCCCAGACCCGCCCTTTTCCCCCTGACACTGGGTTTCACTCTGCAGTGCACGCTGTCTTAGAATTGTAACCTAGGCTGGCCTTGAACTCCCAGTGATCCTCCTGCCTCAGCCTCCTGAGTGCTGCAGTTACAGGCATGTACCACCATGCCCAGCTCTATGGTTTCTTTGATGTTGAGTTTTTTGTTTCATTTCACTGTGATCTGGAAATTTGCATGGCAGAATTTTGACCTTTGTTAGCTTGTATGTGATCTATTTTAGAGAAGTTACTGTGTTCTGCTGAAAAAAATGTGCATTTTGTTGTTGGGTAGAATACTTTATAGATAGGTTTAAAGTCTGTTTCTTTAAGGCTTTGGTTCAGCACTGGTATTTCTTTTTTTTTTTTTTGCGGAACCGGAGATTGAACTCAGGCCCCTGCACTTGCCAGGGAAGCGATTATTCCACTGAGCCATCTCCCCGGCCCAGCACTGGTATTTCTTTCTTTTTTGTCTAAGTGATTATTTGTAGCAGTGGGTATTGAGGTTTCCCCTCTGTGATTGTATTGGTGTTTGTCTGATGGCTTTATGTCCATTAGTGTTTGTTTTATGAAGTTGAATGCACAGTAGTTTGGTGCATATGTGTTTACAGTTGTTATCTCTTACTGTTGAGTAGTTCCATTAACCAGTATACAATACCCTTGCTTCTTTTGATCAGCTTTGGCTGTAAGACTGCTGTCTTTTGCTAGGACAAAATAAATGACACTCACAACTTAAAGGAGAAAAGGCTTATTTTAGTTCACAGTTTATAGAGTTTTCAGCCAATAGTCAGCTGGCTCCGGTGTGTGAGGCTGCATTGCAGAGGGGCATGGCTGAGGAGAAACAAGTGTATGGCCTGAAAAGCAAGGCAGCAGGCCTTCTCCCTTTTATTCCCTTCAGGCTGCGAGGCAGTTGGTTGATGCCACCCATGAAAAGGTGAGTCCTCTATCCCCTAAGCCCATTCAGCCCCACTCAGAACTATGCTAATCCAACCAGTGGACCGGCTCAGTTATCATACAGCCATAATCTAGTGTTACATACTCCTGATCCATAAGCCCCACTGGCAGCACAAGAGGCTCTGTCTGTCTGTCTTTGTTTGTAGCCAGAATTATTTAGATATAAATAATTATATCTAATTATATTATATTTAGATATAAATTAACATCCAAAATTTATAAATATTTATAACTATATTTAGATATAAATCAACATCCACTTTGAGAATAGAATAGCTACCACTGCTTGTTTTTGGGTTCTCATTGCAAGAAATATTGTTTTCCATCCTTTGATTTTTAGTCTGTAAATTTCTTTTTGTGTTAGACATGTTTCTTGTATATAGCATAACTTTTGTTTCTTGATCTATTCTGTTAATCTGTGTCTTTTGATTGGCGAGTTGAGTTCCTTCACATTGATAGTTGTTGACTTTACCTCTCGTTGTATTATTTACTTATTATTTTGCTTTCTTTCTTAATTGCTATCCCTGCTTGATGCATTCATTCTCTTGAACTTTTTGGCATTGCCAACTTCATTGTCTCATTGTAGGATGTCCTTGAAACATTTTTGAAGTGTTTTGCCTTTTCTATTCTGATTTGAAGTTCATTAGTACATTTTTATTTGCAATAGTGTATTTCACAGTTTAAGAATTTTCATTTTTTAAAGTTGTCTTTTAAAAAAAAAGTTGCCTTTCGTCTCTTGGCAGTTCTCTCATGTTATTTCTCTGTCTCTCTCTCTCTCTCTCTTCCTCCCTCCCTTCCTCTCTCTCTCTCTCCCTCCCTCCCTCTTTCCCTCTCTCTCCCCCTTTCCCCCTCCCTCCCTCCTTTTTTACTGGGAATCAAACTCAGGACTTTGTGCTTGCCTGGCAGGCACTGTTCCACTGAGCTATATGCATAATCCCTGTTTCTCTTCTTGAATTAATTGAAGATGTTTATGGGTGGTTTAACTATGTTGTCTGGACTTCCATATCTCAGTTTAAATTCATAGTTGTCTTCTCATGCATAAAACTTATTGTAACAACCTGAGCCTATACTGAAATAGCTTTCTAATTTATTAATTTATTTATTTAGTACAGGGTCTCTCAACACAGATCTCACAACACTAGAGTTCGTAGTGATCATTCCTATTTTGTTCAGCTTCCCAAGCTCTGTGAGCATAGGTATGTACCACCACGCCTAGTCTCAGTTACAGTCTCAGCATGCCCTGGGGGTGGGGTTGGCCCATGCAGGCCCGGGATTGAACCCCTCGCCCCTGAACCTGCCTAAGCAGGCATTTTATAATCTGTAGTTTTTTTAATTTCTTGGTCTGTGTGCATACTGGTCTCAAAGTTAAACATTATTTCAAAAGTCTGAGGGGACCGGCCAGATAGCTCAGCAGACTAAAGCACATGCTTAGCCAGAGCACAGGGACCAGGGTTCGATCCCCGGCAATGCACGCAGTGTGGGCTGAGTCAGTGATTGAGACTGGGTGTGGTCCCATGGGCCTGTAATCCCAGCGCTTGGGAGGCTGAGAACAGGAGGATCATTATGAGTCCAATCTGTGTAGCGATACCCTGTAGACCCTGTACTAAATATGTTTATAAAAAAAGATGAAAAGCCTGTGATCTCTTAATTAATATCAGGAAATCATCTCACTTACAAATTTAACTTTTTTTATTCAAAGATTTGTGGCCTAAAAGATGAATTTCAGGCACTGGGGAGATGGTTCAGTAGAATAAGTGCTTCCCTGGCAAGCGCAAGGGCCTGAGTTCAATCCCTGGTTCCACCCAAAAAACAAAACAAAACAAAACATGAATTTCAACTACCTGTTTGGTTAAAGTCAAATATTATTCTGGTGAAATTATTCTTCAGCATGGTGTTTAAGATGTCCGATTTTCCCCCCAACCCTCAACATACTTGATTTTTTTGTTGTTGTGACATATAAATTTAGAATTCTGTTTTTAATATTGATAAAATAACTTACAAAGATTTTTATTTTTCATTTTATTTTATTTTTTGGTATGAAAGTGTTTTTAAAGTGCCAAAGTGGTCAGCTATGGTACCGGGGATCAAACTGAGGACCTTGCACCTGCCAGGTAGATGCTTATGCCACTGAGCCATTTCCCCTACAAAGATTTTTAATGGATTGGATTGTGTGATGATGCAGTTTATAAGAACTTGGAAAGTCTGGAATTTTAACACTGTTGAGGCTGTTTACTTAATAGCATAGAGTATTCTTTATTTCTGTTTTTATGTTTGTTTTTGAGACAGGCTTTTGTTGTAGAGTTCAGGCTGGCCTTGAAACCACTATGTATGTACCCTGGGCTTTTTTTTTTTTTTTTTTTTTTTTTTTTTTGTAGTAGTAGTAGTAGTAGTATCAAGGACCTTGCTCTTGCCAGGCAGGTGCTTATGCTGCTGAGCTATATTACCAGCCAATATTTTCTGTATAAAATGTCATCGTATTTGAGTGATAATTTTATCTCTTCTTTCTCAAATTTGCTGCCTTCTTATTAATTTCCTCTCTTTACAAATGTTTACCTGCAGCTTTTGATATGATTGTATGAAGATTAAACATTGAATCATCTTGCTTATAATGAAATAATGATTACAGTGGTTTTGCTGCAGAAGTTTGAGAATAAGACATATAAAATTAGTTTAGAATATTTTGTGCTAGAAAGTATGAAAGTGTTTTTAAAGTGGCAAAGTGGCCAGGTGTGGTGGTACACAGCACTTGGGAAGTTGAGGCAGGAGAATCACTGGTAGTTCAAGGCTATCCTGGGCTATATAGTAAGTTCGAGACAAGCCTGAACTGTATAGTGAAACCCTGTCTCAACCCCCTACTCCTGAAAAAGTGCCCAAATGAGTATTTTGCAGCATGTCAAAAGAGAGTAGGCTAGAAGTTTTCCCAGTGTTCATTGAGAAACAAAACATGTATTGACAGCGTTGGATTATACATCAGGGAATAAAATAATTTTTCTTTAGTCACTTTTGATATAAAAAGTTAAATATTATGTGAAGAGAAAGGGGAGATAAATTATCCCTTATAAAAGAATTCAAGGTAAAAAATGTAGATTGGTAGTATGAAATAGAAAATTTGTACTAGAAATAGAAATTTCTGCAGGTTAGATTCACTGTCCAAAACCATTTGATGAAACTCAAAAAAAAGAAAAGTATGGGGCTGGGGAGATGGCTCAGTGAAATAAGCACTTCCCTGGCAAATGCAAGGGCTTGAATTCAATCCCTGATTCCACAAAAAAAAGAAAAGAAAAGTGTGTTGCACAGACATTGCAAAGTATATTGCACAATGTCCATCTTTCCACATGTTCCCAGTCCTTCTTTTCTTAAATTTTTTAGAAAAATTATATTATGGAACTTATGAGTAGATATAAAATTCTTTTTTTTTTTTTATTTTATTTGTGTGTGTGTGTGTGTGTGTGTGTGTGTGTGGCCAGCTCAGCCCACCAGGGGGCAGCCCTGGCTGGCATGTGGTGCTGGGGGATCGAACCGCGGTCCCTGTGCTTTGCCAAGCTTGTTCCAAGTAGGTGCCTTAGACCATTGAGCCATCTCACCAGCCCCCAGATATAAAATTCTTAACAGTTTCACTCTAAGGTAAGAAATAGAAGTGTTCTGTGGTAAGGATTTTCCTTCCCCACAGTGACCCTTCAAGGTCAGGGTACCTACAGCAGTAACCTGTGGGTGTAAAGTAATTGTTAAAATGTATTTAGTAAGAAACAAAATCCCCATCAGTTTTCTACAAAGGCAGCAATAAGGATATCCCCCATTTGATGACCAAATTTCATTCTTTCAACTAGGTTGTTAACTGAACTAATTGCTAAGTGAGGAATTTTATATAGTATATACATTGCAATACTCACAACAAATACATGGTCAAAGGAAACTAATGTGATAATTTTATTTCAGGAGCTGTTGACATTCAGCGATGTGGCCATTGACTTTTCCCCAGAGGAGTGGGAATGCCTGGACTCTGTTCAACAGAATATGTATAAGGATGTGATGTTAGAGACTTATGGAAACCTGATCTCCTTGGGTGAGGATAACTTCCCTACAGAATTTCTTCTTAACTATCAGTCATTAGTTTCCTTATACCACTGAGCTATTTCCCCAGCCCTTCCTTGCTTTTTAGAAACCTGTGTGGCAACTTAGGCTTTGTGAGAATGAGTTTTAGATGCCTGCTTTAAAACCAAAAATGGACTTTTCTTGATAAGACAAGAAAATTTTCATCGCATTCTTGTCTTTTGTTTCCATCTTAATTGAAATATCATATATCTTTTACCCTAGATTAATGGTGGTATTAGAATTTCAATGCCAGGGGCCGGGGAGATGGCTCAATGGAATAAGTGCTTCCCTGGCAAGCGCAAGGGTCTGAGTTCAATCCCTGGTTCCACCAAAAAAAAAAAAAAAAAAATTTCAATGCCATAAAATATTATGATCATATCTTTTTTTTTTTTTACAATTTTTTTTTTTTTTACAATTTATTTATTTGTGTGTGTGTGTGTGGCCAGCTCAGCCCACCAGGGGGCGGGGCTGGCTGGCATGTGGTGCTGGGGATTGAACCGCGGTCCCTGTGCTTTGCTAAGCTTGTTGTAAGTAGGTGCTTTAGACCACTGAGCCATCTCACCAGCCCCTATGATCATATCTTAAACTCTAAATTTTTCCTTTTAGCTTTGAATTAGTAGTAGTTGAAAATGGAGTTCAGGATTTGCAAGTTGAAACATTTTGCACAATTCTAATGAGTCTATATGCAGATATCATTTGGGGATAAATGTTTTTAGAATGTTCCATTATGTCTTCTCTTTTATTTTGAGTGCCCTACTAGGGGAGAAAAGTATAATGCATCATTTTCTAATAACAGGTTTCTCGGGCTCTCCGCCTAGCCTGATCTCCTTTCTTGAGCAAATCCAAGAGCCCTACAGTGTGAAGAGACAAGAGCCATTGGCTGTATGCCCAGGTAGGTGGGATAAATGAAGCAGAGAATCCACCTGAGAGGTCCAAAGAGTAATCCAGGTCTTTAAATGTGCATTCCAAAAGTATTGTTCCAATAGAAATCAATTTTCAGAAGCAAAGCGTTCAGGCTTGCTGTCGTCGGAGGCCATCTCCAGCCCTGTGCTTGTGATCTCCCAGGACATGCACTGTGACAGTGCGAGTCTTTTCCTTCGCTTGTGAGGGGCTTAGTGCTCTGAGTACCTTTCCATTGCTTTTGGTTTCTTCAGGAAATTTGTGCACATTTTAAAAGACTTCTATGTTAATCCATTATACTATTCTAACAACATCATAAAGAAGTTTCTTTGATATCACATATCAAAGAAAATAAATTGTGATATCACAATTTATTCATTAAATATTGAATATTGTCTCATCTTATAAATATAGTGCATAGTCTGTAGTTTCCCTGGCATCCAGTGAGCCAGAGATTAAACATATCTACTCTGTTTGAATATATGATCTTACCCTCTTCTGTGTACACAGAGCAAATTTCTCCTGTGAGTCAGTGAAGCAGACTTGTGTTTCCGAGATTCAAAATATCTACTCTTCCTGGATATAAGATCATAATTGAAAAATGGTTATCAAGGATTTTTAGAACTGTATATCAACCATTATGCAGGATTTTTATTAATTAAATATTTTTTATTTTGTGGTTCCCTTATTTTCATTTTTTATCATTATTATCTAGACAATACAAAATAATTTTTTAAAAAGCCCAGAAAGAAATCCCATTAATGATACAGAACTAGAGGCCGGGGAGATAGCTCAGTAGAATAAGCGCTTTTCTGGCAAGTGCAAGGGCCTGAGTTCAATCCCTGGTTCTGCCAAAGAAAAAATTTATAAAAAAAGAAATGATACAAAATTTCACCAAATAAAACAATAGGAATTTGATGACTGCCGCATTGCCTACTATTGTCTTCAGATTAGTTGTTTATATTACCAGATAATAAGCATGCAAAATTGGTTTTTAAAAAAGTTACAAGAAATTAAAAAGGACAAGAAAAAGTTTTTTTTAAAAAAACTAAATGCCAGGGCTGGGAAGATAGCTCAGCAGTCTAAGCACCTGCCCGGCAAGTGTAAGGACCCGAGTTCGATCCCCAGTTCTGCATGCCATACTACCCCCAATGTGTAGCAAGACCCTATAACAAACCTTTAAAAAAATATTAAAATTAAACATCAACTGCAGGGTCTTGCAATGTAGTTGACACTATTCTTGAACTCACTATGTAGCCCAAGCTGGCCTCATGCATGCTGCAGTTCCCCTGCTTCAGTTTCCCAAGTGCTGGGATTACAACTGTGTGCCGTCACACGCAGCATGCAGTTCCATTTTTTGTATTTTATTTCTTAGATTCTTTCACATCAGTTAACATTTTAATTTTTTAACTTTTATGTTTTATCATATATAGTAAGATCGAAAGATAGTTTCTTTTTTTTTCTTTGTATTTTAGGAAAGGGTCCACGGGGTGTTCAGGATCTCACTACTAGATCGTACTCCTAGTGATCCACCAGTTTACAGCCTCTCAAGAGCTGGGATCACAGGCACACGCCACCACACCCAGTTTCAATTGCCTTCCCAGCGTGCCCCAGGGGCGGGGCTGGCATGGCAGGCCTAGGGATCAAACCCAGCCCCTGCACCTGCTTGCAGGCACTTGAATCCACTGAGCTATTTGGCCAGCCATGCAGATATTAATATTTTCAGAAAAATAAAACATTCATACACTAACATCTTTCACTTTAAAAGAAAAATAACATACACGCCCTAGGTTCACCATCACTAATATATATATTTAAGAAATAGATGTATAGATATAGATACAAATATATAGATATAGTGTATATTCTTCTTTCATGGCATATAGTAAACATGAAGACTTTGTAACAACTGAAATAAACCAGAAACAGATACTCAGTTACTGCATGATTTTTTTAATGCCTTATAATTTTTTTCATGACCAAAGAACAGAATAACAGTTGTTATATATTATTATTTCAAAATTGTTACTCAGTACAAGACATAAGGTATAAAGATTCTTACAAAGAAAGATAATTAGCTTTTCAAAACAAACTAAGATAAACTATTAGTATAAATGGAACAAATTAGCAAATACCATGTTTCCCCCAAATAAGACCTGTTGGTAAAAGAGAAAGCTAGGAAATTGATCAGATGTGTGTAGGTGGGACTAAGCCTCAGGGCCTAAAGCAGTCAAGCTACCTCAGTCCTGAGATAAACATCCTATCTGGTTGAGGTCAACTATTAGTCGCTAGGCAACCTTGTGTTACATGTTACTAACTTTGCAAAAGTATAAATAGAAGTTGGTTTTGTTGTTGGGAAGGGCATCTGTCTTGCCCACCAGGCAGACCAACAACCACCTAGCCCAGCTTTTGTCTTCCTGTCTATCTTTTTCTTATTCCTGCCACTGTTTCTCCTCGGGTAGAATTGATCCAACTAAGACCAAGGGACCCCTACGAAGACCTAGCTTGAAATCAGTCTGCCTTGAAAACTAGAGATCAAAAATACTAGACCCAAATCAGCCCATTTGTTTTGTTTTTGTGCTGGGGTTTGCAAAATGCTTTGGCCCAGTACCTCATTTGTCAGGAGTGAGCCACAGTATTACTTATGGAACCCCCTCACTCACCCCCACACAAACAGGTATGGGGTATTAGCATAGAGAGAAAACCAATTCATTGCAGGCACTTCTGTGTTACCTTGACTGTAGTAGTAAATTCACCACAATAGTGGCATCCAATGTCAACTGGATGTTGGCAAACCCTAAGAACTACTTACTCATAAACAACCGAACTCTGATTTTAGTGAAGGCAGTTAGCCCTCATAACCCCTTATATTGGCTTATAGTAATTCAGAACACTGATTTCTGCTGCATCTTGGCAGCAGTGCCAGAGCTCAAATATATTGCTAGAGTGCATGTCTTCTTCAGAACAATCCCCTCTGTTACTCCCACTGAACCTGGCCTCCCACAGCAGAACACAGATCCCATGATCTTCCTGGTCTGAGACCAGACCACTTACAGCAGCCTAGGAGAATCCCTATTTATCTCCCTCTAAGCCTATCTCCCAAGGCTGTCTCTCACCTACTATCTGTGTTAGGGTATCCCTTAGGTCTTTAAGCAAAACTCTCCTCCTGAAGATTAGCTTCTCTGATCAAATTAGTATTTTGGTTAGCAACTCTTGCCTTGTGCTATAGAGAACCAGGGCCTGGAGGTCAGGCACGCTGTTCCTGAGTCTTCCTGACGCTGGCAGGAGGAGGTGGGACGTATGCTTCCCTTGTCCTGCTGGGTCTGGCTGGCTCAGAACTCTGTGGTGTGGTGGTTAAATGTTTTTATTCATATGTGGAATCTAAAAAATGTTGATCTCAAATGTATAAAGTAAAATTATGTTTACCAGGGTCTAGGATTGTTTGGGAAGAAATTAAGCAAATGTTAGTCATAGTCTACAAAATTTTAGCTAGCTAAGGCACAAGAAGTTCAAGAGATATTGTAAAACATGGCAAGTTAATATTCTATATTTTTGAGAAATGTTAAGAGAATATAGTGTTAAAATAAAAATTATGCTTAGCAATGTTTGTTTCTAATTAGCTAGGTTTAGACAGTTCACTATCCATACACTTCAAAACATCATGATTAACATGCTAAATATATATGATTTAAATAAAATTACACTTTGTAAAAAATACAAAAATCATTTTCCTTATCTCTGTATTGGCAAGCTTCAGGGAATACTAATGCAGTCATTGTGCTAGGAAGAGTTGCGGACTCAAATTTGCTTTCATATATGTGTCCTGTAGAATTGGGTTTGTGTTTTTCCAGTTACAGAGGAACTAAAATTTCATTTTCTGTTATACTGCTATTGACTTGTGACTGGCACTGCCATCTTTTGCTGCTATAATAAATACCTTTTGTTTCAGCTGTCCTGAACTTTTTCATCATTATATCCATGTGGTTTCCCACACCATGTATATAAAAGACAGTTTTTAGAAGGCCCCTATGAAACCATAAATATATCTCTGTATTCCACTAATTTTTTTCAATCTTGTGAGAGAAGGGATTTTTCATAATTATGCTGTACTTATCAGGAGGACATAGAGCTGTGTCAGATAAAAATTGACTGTTGTCAATAACCTTTCTTTCCTCTAATATGTTACTGTCATTAGTGTTATGGTTACCTGAGGTGCTATGTGTACTTTTGTGCTTTTGGGAATTTTGACAAAGGTAATCTTGGTAGTATATTACTGTTAAGTCCATATATCTATAGAGAAGAGAGGGCCTGGTGTTTAATATTCTGCTATCCTCCTTATAATTCATAACTTTTATACCTTTGATGGATTTTGTTTTTCAAACCTTGGGTTGAGATTAACTTGGTCTGTGAGTGTTCCACAAGATGACCAAATAGTTCTAATAAGTTTTAACTTGATAAATGAATGAGACAATGTGAATAGTATGTCATGCTGCATGTCACATGATCACAACTGATTCTTTTCTTTCACTGTTTTGGATTATGAACAGAATGAATTAGTCATGTAATCCAAGGTTTTGTTGTTTATTATTATATAATTAGTATATCACATATGTATTATTGATTTTATATATGTATGATCAGTTGAATACGGGGCCTTCACAGTGAGCTGTTTGTTTTTTTGGTTTTTTTTTAGAAGATCCTATTGAGGGCTGGTGAGATGGCTCAGTGGTCTAAAGCACCTACTTAGAACAAGCTTAGCAAAGCACAGGGACCGTGGTTCAATCCCCCAGCACCACATGCCAGCCAGCCCAGCCCCCTGGTGGGCTGAGCTGGCCACACACACACGCACATAAATAAATAAATAAATAAATAAATAAATAAATAAATAATTTTTTTTTTTTAAAAAAGATCCTATTGATTTCTCAGTTGGGCCCACAGTTGTAGTTTACCTGCTGAAATATTACTGAGGGGAGAGATTATAAGACTGCACCACCATGTCCAACATTTATATCATTTTATATATTAGATTTATAAACTATTCACCAGTCTCATGTGGCATGATTTGTTATTTTTATTTCTTTCAGCTGTATCTTCTCATTTTACTGAAGGCATTTCATCAAAACAGGGCAGAAAATACTCATTCCAAAATGTAACAAAGGGAAGGCATAGTATTTGTGGCCATGACAACTTATACTTCACAAAAGAATGGGAAAATATGGACCAGTATGGAGATCACAGTGCATACTATAATAGTTGTAACAAATTTATGACAACAAAAGAAAACACAGCCTTCATTGCCAGCAGAGATGAAGAACATAGAGCATTTCAGAAAACTCAGTTTGTGCCAGCTGTTAAGGACCCATGTGTTTTTGTAGGTGAATATTCACATCAAATTTTGAAACATGCCTTTTCACTCAAAGGAAAACTGAGAATGAGACCAGCACATGCTTCAGTTCATCACTTGAAAAATGTTAAATATATTGGCCTAAATTTTGAACCATTCATTTTTGTAGACAATAAATTTAAAAGTGAAGAGCAGATTCCTAAATGTAATCAGTTTGATACTTTCACAAAAGGTTTATTTTGTAATCAACAAATAAATCTTCCTAATACCAAGATAAATAGTTTTCATGAGTATGGGAAGTTATTTACCCATCCATTATTGCCCAATCAAAATCTAGCTGTAGGAATTTACAGTTGTAAAGAATGTGGTAAAGCTTTCAAAAGTTCTTCAAATCTTACTAGACATGAGAAAATTCATAATGGAGAGAAACCGTACAAATGTAATGAATGTGGGAAAGCCTTTAATAATTGCTCATACCTCAGTCAGCATCAGAGGATCCATAATGGAGAGAAGCTATATAGATGTGAAGAATGTGGCAAAGCATTTAACTGGTCTTCACGCCTTACTGTACATCAGAGAATTCATACTGGAGAGAAGCCATACAAATGCGAAGAATGTGGCAAAGCTTTTAACTGTCGTTCGCACCTTACTCGACATCAGAGAATTCATACTGGTGAAAAACCCTACAAATGTGAAGAATGTGGCAAATTCTTTACTCATGGTTCAAATCTTACTCAGCATCAGAGAATTCATACTGGAGAGAAGCCTTACAAATGTAATGAATGCGGCAGAGCCTTTAACAAGCGCTCAAACCTTTCTTTACACCAGAGAGTTCATATTAGAGAAAACACATACAAGTGTGATGAATGTGGTAGAACCTTTGGTACGTGGTCCACCCTTTCTATACACCATAGAATTCATGATGGAGAAAAACTTTACACATGCAAAGAATGTGGGAAAGCCTTTAGCTATTCTTCTGTCCTTAGTCGACATCAGAGAATCCATACTGGAGAGAAACCCTACAAATGTAAAGAATGTGGCAAAGACTTCAGACATGATATAAGTCTTACTCGACATCATAGAATTCATAGTGGAGAGAAGCCCTACAAATGCAAGGAATGTGGTAAAGCCTTTATTCGGTGCTCACATCTCACTCAGCACAAGAGAATGCATACATGAGAGAATGTTTTCAAATGCAAACAATGGCATAACCTTTTATCTCTCCTGCTGTCTTTAGTAAATACTGGAGAATTCATAATGGAAGGAAGCCTTACAAATGTAAATAATGTGGCAGTATTTAAAATTGCTCAACTTACTCAACAGAACTCATATCAATGGAGAGAATGCTTTCCAATGGAAAGAACATTTATTCTACATCATAGAAATTGTAGTGGATAAAAGCCCTACAGTGATAAAGAATTTCTCAAAGTTGTTAGTAATTGAAAGTCTACAAATGTGTCAAGACTTTTAACGAAGGTTCAGTCCTAATTCAACGTGAGTGCAGGGCCATTAAACTTCAAATACTTTGGACATTGTTACTCCTTTATTTATTTCTCATTTTTGTTTTTGAAGTTATGAGTATGTAAGTGTAATAATAAGCCATGGATGTTTGAATCCTGAATTTCACATTATGAAAATTTCCCTTAATTATTTTCCACATATCACACATATGGTGTGACATTAATTTACATTGACTGAACTATAGTACCCTTAAAACCTAATTGTAAATTTTCAAGTAAGAGTACTATAGAAATATTATGGTTGTGAGTTTCTTTGTATCTATTGGTAAGTAATGGGAATTTGTGAAACAAAAGGGTTGTTTTTTAAAAGAGTTGGTTCTTTATAGTCAAACCAGACACCTCACATACATGAAAAATTTGTGGTCTGAACTAAATTTATCCACATGAAATGTCATGGTTCTTACTCTAGAATCTCCCTACACTAAATATACTTTTTTCCTACTTGTTATTTATGAAATTTCTTAAAAGGATTAATAGATAAATGTTTATAATTTTTTTATATGACCTATTCAGAGATGCTAAGAATTTTTTTATGTTTCCATCTTTTTTTATTTCCTATTATCTCACTCATCTATCTAATAGCTATTGGGTGGATAGACTGTGGAAATGATGACGGGAGGGTCAACACTGGGCTCTTATCTCTGTGTGGGTAGAACTCATTTGTTGGAGCCCTCCGCTTATATGCATCTTGCATGTGCTATTCACTCTACACATTACACAAAAACCCCCTATGAGTCACTGAAGGGGTGAAGAGCTTGGTGGACCAATGATTCCAAGATCTCTAGCAGCCAGTTTCATGCTTTGCAATCATCACTGCAAGGAAGACTATTGACGTAGTGACCATAAATACCTTGCTAACATTGGACATACTTATCTGGGATGAATTTAAAAGTAAGAAAAATCTTTATTTATTTTTAATAGATTGCAAATTGAAAATAAATTATTTACAAACATAAATGAATATAACAAAAATTGTCCAAAATTAAAATGAAGAAAGAATTTACAGATCAGTCATAATAGTTCACTGTGTCAAAACCAAGAAACTTATATTCATAGAATTCTCAAAGTAGAAAGGAATAGGCAATAAATATTTAAAAATTTAAAATTTTTGAATTTAGTTCAATAATACCGCATTTCCAAGAAAAATGAACCTTTTGCACAAGGAATTTAAATAAAATCATACCAAGGTACACAAAAATGAAATTGTCCAAAACTTATTAACTTAAAAAAATCATTAGAGCATATACATAAAAAATATTAGCTATGGATGAACAAAATTAAATAGCATCTTATTCCACATTTAAAAAAAAAGAAAAAGTGTGTAAGAAACTAGACTAATTAAAAGACTGAAAGAAAATAAAAGACCTGTCTTCTTTGAATTTTATACTTGCAAACATACCTTTGAAAACTAAAAGTAAGATTTTCTAGTTATACAAACCTGAAATATTTTAATACCTCCAGAAGTAGCATATAGAAAATAACAAAGCATAATTCAAAAGGCAAGAGAAGTTGCAGTATGGTCCTGGATGGACAATAAAGAGCTCTCAATGTGATACTTATGCAGGACTATATAAAATATATTAGGTGAACCCTTAAAGGTCATTGCAGATTTCTATGAAACAGTACCAATCATGTTGGGTTATATATGTATTTATATGTGTGTGTGTGTGTGTGTGTGTGTGTGTATGTGTGTATAAAAGACAGGGAAGAAATATAAAGTCAACAGAAAATGGAAATATACTTTTTAAAGTTCCTAATACTAAGATAAGATATCATACGATGTCTTTTAAATAAATTGTAAGTCAAAGATATGGTATAAATTTTAAGATTAAACAATATTCAGAAAATTAAATACTAATTAAAAATTAAATGTTTCAAAACAATTGAACGAAGAAAAAGTGTTCATGATAGCAAAGAAGTACTAAGTAAAACATAAGATAAATACTGGAATGGCAAATAAATGACCAGCACTTCTAACAGTTTGAGGATAGGATATCACACAAAGTTCTAGTGTGTTATGGACATGCATAATGACAATGACAGTTGCTGGTGGCCATGTGTCACTTGTGGGACTGAGCTACAGCTATTTCTTTGAAATCCATCCTGTAGACTCAGATGGAATCATGACCCATAGGGTGGAAGAGAAGTCCATTTGTAGAGTGTGCGGATGGAAATATTTTGCTGCTGTACACAAAAGAATAACTGAAAGACTACTATTGTATACCTCTTTTTCTCCTGTGTTTGTTTGCCCTATTTGGTGGGTCCTTTCCATTTTCATTCATGGGGCTGTGATCATTTTGCTCTCTCTCTAGAACGTCATTTAGTAGTCTGTGTAGGCTTGGCTTTGTCATCATGAAATTCTGTAGCTGTTCTTTGTCATGGAAGTATTTCACTTCTCCATTATACTTGAAAGAGTTTTGCAGGGTATATCAGTCTGGGTTGGAATTTGTTTTCTTGCAAGACTTGAAGTACTTTGCTCCATGTTCTTCTTGACATGATGGTTTGTGAAGAGAAATCTGCTGTTACTCTGATGGGTTTTCCTTTAAATGTGATCTGTTTCTTTTCTTTCGCAGCTTTTAGTATACTGTTCCTATGCTGAATTTCTGGGATCTTGATTATTATATGTCTGGGTGTGTTTTTAATTGAGTTGATGTTATTTGGAGTTCTATATGCTTCAGTTACTGAATGTCAGATTGTTGCCCTGTATTTGGGAAGTTTTTGCTATTACTTCTGCCCATATTCTTTTTATATCATTTGTATTGAGTCCTTCCTTTTCATTGATGCCTATTAGTCTCACGTTGTTCATCTTTGCATCATCTTGCAGGTATTGAATTATGTTTTCCTGCATCCTAGCTGTTTTTAAGAGATCTTTTCTTACTTTTTCACTAGCTACAATGGTGTCTTTAAGGTCAGAAAGTCTATTTTCACTTGCACTCAAACGTTTTTGCCAGCTTGTGATTGAGGTTTTAATTTCCTGTATATCACTTTGAATCTGTTTCATACATTCTATTTCTTTCCTAAATTGCTTATTCAGGGGTTCCATCATTTTTATATTCTGCTCTATTTTTTTTTTAATCAGTATATTCTTTAGAAACATTTAGTACTTCTTTGATTATAGTTATCACTACATTTTTTAGTTCAGAAATTCTGATCTGATTTCTTCTATACCTTTCTGCAGTTGTTTCTTTACTTCTAACGCTATTATTTCAGAGATATCAGGTATGTGATTTCCAGTTTCCTCTATGCTAGTGTCTTCTGCATTTGTACTGGGTGGACTCGGGGCCTGAGACTGCATTTTGTTCCTTCTCTTTGTCATTTTGTATACCACTGTCTTCGGACCTTTGGTGTAGAGCTTAGATAGAGTTATTACCTTAGCACCAGGTCTGGATCTACGAAGTTCAGATTCCTCCAGGTGGGTGTTGCTTGGATCTGGCTGGGGTCTGGGTGCTGTGCTCCACTTCTTTCTGCTGCAGCCGTTGGTGTTGAACCCTTTGTGTCACTCTGGCAAGATGTTCTGCTCCTGAATCAGCTAGGTGGGTCTTGCCTCTAGCTTCTTTGCAGGGAGTTCTTCTGAAGGGTTCTATGCTGGGCCTCGTTATGGGTCTATTCAGGATCCAGTGGGCCCCAGGTGTTCTCACTCACACACCGGTCTGTGCTCTGGGTCTATTCAGGATCTGGCGGCCCTGGGCGGTCTCACTCAAGTGCTGGACCTGGGTTCTGGGTCTATTTGGGATCTGGTGGCCCCAGGTGGTCTCACTCACACACCAGGCCTGGGCTCTGTGTCTATTCAGGATACGGCAACCCTGGGTGGTCTCACCTCACACGCCGGGCCTGCGCTCTGGGTCTATTCAGGATCCGGCGGCCTGGGTCGTCTCACTCACACACCACGCCTGGGAAGTTAGAAAAATCTACATGTCTTAATCCTGAAATTTTTCTTTATTGTTATTTTTTGTATTTAGTACAAGGTCTCACTACATAGGTTGGACTCATAGTGATCCTTCTGTTTGCAGCCTCCAAACACTGGGATTACAAGTGCACCCTACCACGCCCATTCTCAATCAGCCATCTCAGTGTGCCCTGGGGACAGGGCTGGCATGGCTAGTGGTGCTGGGTATTGAGCCCTGGTCCCTGTACTCTGTCTAAGCAGGTGCTTTAGTTTGCTGAGTTACCTGGCCAGCCCTTGAAATTTTAAAATATATTGAACTCTTGAATTACAAACTCAGCTCCTTCTGAAGGCTGGTTGTAAGTCAAGACTTTCCTATTAATACAGTGGAAATACACATAATGTGTTCCAGACCTTTCAAAGCACCTCTTAACATTTTCATATAAAAAAAGGTGGTATGATATCTATAGTTTGCTAGAAACACCAATAAGTTTTCTAGTGTATTCGCTGAAATTATAAATTTTGCCAAGTTTACCAGAAACAGTTTCATACTGTAGTCAGAATTCAAGTTGACATCTTTGGCTTGCAGAGTTGACATCTTGGCTTGCAGGAAGCGAGGATGAAATGGAAGGAGGTTATTGTGTGGAAGGAGAGTCCTGTTCTATAAGAGCAGCAGGAATCTGGCTGTCTGGTATCCTTTCCTTGGAAGAGGCTATAGCCCACTGTTACCTGCTTATGGCTCCCTAGGTCTCAGCCTTTTTAGAACTAAAAACTGGCCTAAGATCTGTTTCTTTTCTGTTTGTTTTTATTGCGATTGCTTTCTTTAGCTTACCTTCTTTCTTTAGGGTTTTTTTTCCCCCCTAGCTTTTTGGGGTCTTTTTTTGTTTTTTCTTTTGTTTTGTTTTGTATTTTTTAGGAAGGTTCTACAGGGTGTTCAGAGTCTCACTACTAGATCAGACTTGTAGTGATCTTCCTGTTTACAGCCTCCCAAGAGCTAGGAATACAGGCACATGCCACCATTTTGATAGCAGTAATGATAGTAATTATACAAAGCACTGACTGAAATTATGCCCACAAACATTCACATCTGGGCCCAGACTGATGTTTATAGATGCTTGTTTGGCATTGTGAATTGCTTACAACCACACAAGCAGCTAGCATTTGGATTGTAACTCAAGACTGGTTATAAGTGAAGTCTAAAATTCTGGTTGTAACACAAGTTACTTGTATGTAAGGCTGATGATTATTCAAGGGTCCACTGTATGAGCTTTCATCATTAGGATTTCATTAAATATAGACTTTGCACTTATTTATCACCAGCCAAATTATTCTACAACAAAACTGACCTTCCC